CTCTTGTTATTATGTGACTCTAGAAGTACCTATTCGAATTAAAAAAGTTCAACTGTAGGCATTCATTCAGAAGTAAAATTTCAGCTATCAGACGAGAGTGAAGAGGTTTTAAGAACAGGCAAATCAAGGAAAAGATCTCGTAGTAAAAGCTTGCATTTAAATACTTTTTGAGAAAAGCATTTTACATTTTATTTAAAATATTTTTCCAAACGTATTTTCTATTAGTAAAATGCAAAATACCTTTTTGCCGTTAAAAGTTTTGCTAATATCACCGATCAAACACTATATAAAATGATGAATGAAAGTTGCTCACATTGGCCATTGAAGGTATTAGAAGCTTAGAAATGGGGCAAAGAGACATTCCATAAATGCCTTCTAATTCTTTAACTGAAGGGAGCCCAAAAAATTATAAACTTGGAAAAGAATAATCTAAAATATAGGATCGATATTGTTTGCCGAGTTGAATGTCATGGTCCATGGAATTTTAAAGTTCTAAATTGATATCAGCACCTGCCAATTCACCACTTATAGTACCTTTAGCAAGAATTTCTATGAATTACGACGATACAGCCCACAAAACAATATCGAATTGATATACGCCAGCTGTATAAAACTAAAAACTACAAGAAATTGTGGTGTGCTAATAAATGCTTATTATCCAAAATCCTTAGAAAATGATTCGAAGAACGTCACTTATTAGATGAACCCAAAGCTATAGAAACTATAGATTCCGTTTCTTTCTTATTACAATGTGTAAAAGATCAGAAACAAAAAGGGGTTGTAAATATTATGATATAAAATGATTAATGGTGATTGTACATCAATAAAATTATTTGCAATCCTATTTTGGCTCTGATATTTCACGCTAAGCAAACTATTTGAGCATCAGTGTCTTTTTTCCAATTAAAACGGGTGACAAAGGTAAATAAGGAAGCATATAGCAGAGTTATTTGTTGCTGAACTGAAGAAACTATAACATAAAGATAGAAAAACTGTATCTCAATCACTTCAAGCAGAAAATATGAATGATACTGCAAGGTTTTCTTAAAANGCAAATACGTATTTTGCATTTAGCATTTAAAATACAAAAGGGAAATCTATTTTGTATTTTACATTTGAAATAGCAAATCAAAAATGTGCCTTTTGTATTTAAATACTTTTAAAAAACCGTTTTGCTCATCTCTAGTTGTAGCTACCATTATCATTATCTAATATAACCATTAAAAATTGGAAAAAAAGTCATGCTTCCCTTCTTTGTTACGGTTTTTCTAGAAAAAGAAATCTAAGCATACTAATAAAATGTTTTTTGAATCTAATTTTAATAAGAATGTAGGGTAATAAAAATATAAGTGGTAAACCTATTGAGATTTCGGATCCAGACTCCTTCTTCATTATCAGAAAATTCAAAATTCCATATTTATTTACAGTCAATATTTGATAAAATCTTTGGAATTTGAATTTTACGCATACAATTCAATTCCTATTTGAAATATATTACAAATGTTTGAGATGAAGATAAATGGTTTATTTAATCGTATCAAACTTTTGAAGAGTGATTTCCATATGTATGTATTATGTAAGCTGCGAAATTTTACATCGACGTTTTAAAATACAATATTAAAAATTGACTGCTTAGGCCCATCATTTAACTTTAATGTTGATAAAATACTCAAACTACGTTTTTCAATGTTTCTTCCAAGAATTAATCATAAATGTGTAAAATGCAATTTTTGACGTGACAACGTCTCATAATTCGATGGAGCTGGTTGCACGCACGTAAAAACATGACTCATGCGGCGTTACCTCGCTCTGAGGCGTTCCATTTAAGGCTTGAAGTGCAAGCGAGAACGCGGAACGAGCGACAAAGAGGCACAATCGGCTTCCGCGTTCGGCAGCGTTCGACATCTGTCTCTCTCCTACTTGAGTGAGCGATGCGTCCGCGTAGACAGCTGCTATACAATAATACATTTCCATTTACCTCCTTCTCTATATCCATACAAAATATCTATCAAACAAATAAAATTAAAATTTTCTTTTGAAAAATGAAACAATTCCATCAGTATTTTCTTATGACGTTGTCACGTTCAACTATCGTCAGTAAACCGACTTTACAG